AGATTCTTTGTTTATATTATATGAATAGGAAAACAGCCTTGTGTATCTTTTGTTTCATTGTTGCTTGTTTTCCTGAGTGACCTGTTTATTTTGTATTTATGTTTTTCGGAGCAACTGCCTGATCTTATGCTATTACTTAAGATTTGTTCCTTTTTTATACACCCAGTGGGGAATTATTTTCCCTTTTATTTAAACTGCAGTACACCAGTCCAATTTTTTTAAAAAGCAGGTGCTGCTTTGCTTAGTCAAATAAGCTTAAATGTGCCCTCACAAAGACACTCATGCACACATCAGCTGTGACTAACACAGGGTCACAGATCAAAGAATCTCATTAATAAGGCATGGATTTATCTCAGGGCATCGCCTCGAGGCCCCCTGCTGTTGCTATGAGGGTAGTGGCTTTGTGCAGCAGTGCAGTGTTGTGGTTCAGGCTGAAGTGGTTGTATATATACACATACAAGTATAGTATATATATATTTGTGTTTGAGGGGGGAGTTGATTGATGTACCCAGCTTCTATTGTGTGGCATGATCTTACATACCATAAATTAGCCAGTGAATGCTGGTGAAACTGATTATAGAACCATGACTGAAATTATTTTTGTTAGAGCAGCTACAGTGACCTGTAACTGGACTGTGTAATGCTATTCTCTACACCACTCATCACTGAGGTAGAGCTACTTCTTCATGTTTATTGTACTGATTTAAAGAGAAAATATCAACACTTTGTTTTGTTCATTGTTATAATTGTAACCCCTCGTACAAGGACGACAATACTAAAAGTTTCCCTCAAACTCCATCCTCTCAATCTATCCATCTATCTATCTATCTATCTATCTATCTATCTACCTACCTCTAGCTCATTCCGTGTCTCACACACAAACACACTCATATGGCAATGTGAATATGTATTAAACATGCAACTCTAATAATTGTTATATTATTATCATAATACATGAAATAACTGTATCATATTACTATATAATATTTTTTTCTATTGTTGAAGAACAAAGCCAATATATAGTATGTGCTGATGGACACTTAATCTTATCAGTGCTATACTGACTGAAGGCTGACACAGTTACAGATCAAGTGACACATAATTGTTTCCACAAACTTTAATAGTTCATGTAAACACACAGCAGACTGTGAGCAATCCAATTATGAGACATGGTTTGCAAGACATGGCATGCAAAATAAACAGAAATGACATACTCTGTGAGTCAACACACATAATCACACCCTCCTTTGTTTTGAGCCCCACGGTAAGTATGTTGGAATCTGCACTTCCCAAAGCCAAACTCTGTTTTCTGACCACCAGTCTAACTGACATCCTTTCTTTCTTGTTTTTCTCTTTCATGTGCCCCTCTTGTTACCTGGTGTGGTTCCTGTTTCCTCCCTGACTCCTGTTAAATCCTGGCTCACCAAATAAGGTAAGAAATAGTTTTCATCAATATTGTTCAAAACATCAAACATATGCAGTAGTGCAGTCTTTCACGATTCTATAAACAGGACAGATTACTGACGCATTGACAGCTGAACATCATGCTCTAGATCACCATACAGTAATAGGATTCAGACACAAACTATAGCAGTGACTAGTTTCACAGTGTGTAAACATCACACATTGGCTCTGAGTCAAGCAGTTAATCAGATTTTCCACAAGCGACACACATGTTAACATACCTCACAAAACATCTAGCACCACTGATGATGATATTAACCAGGCGTTGATGGACAGACCTTTTGTTAAAAGAAGATCATGAGTGACAGTGCGAGTGCCTTGATGCTCAAAACATGATGTGATTGTTACTTTGGATTACACTCATCATCACATTTAATAGTAGTCTTTTACTATTAACAGTATTTTGAATCAGCATTTTAGCTCCTTTGTACATACCCTCATTTTCAGGATACTGAAAAAGTACTTCACTACATTTGAACCACACATTTGAACAGTCAGACAGCTCTCCCTACTAACAGGCTTACAAGGTTTAAGAAAAGTATTAGCAGGAAACACCAACTGTTGAAGTAACTCATGCCTTAATGAAGTTGCAATGAATATACTGGCCAGCACTGTGTCTTGAATTTTAGCCTTTGGTTTGGTGCTCGAGACCAACATACACTTTATAAAGGCAATCAGAGAGCATGACATTACACTCATTAAATGAAATATTGCAATACAATGGGTACCACACAGTACAGTACAGTGACAGTATTAAAAAAATACAAACAATGTGATACAAACATAGAGTGTTAAGGAGACACCATAAAGCTACCTGCAGTATCTTAACAGATCTTAACTCATTGGAAACTGACTAAAACACAGTCAGGGGGGGGTCAAATAAAGAGGCTGTGATTTGTAATGTTGATGTACTGGATTGGTTTATATCATTATTATTTATTTGTTATTCTTCATACATGCAGTCACCAGTCTATCAGGTTCACCAAGCTACAACTAATGCAGTCTAATGTTGAAATACATCCTACCTTCATGAACGTTATAATGTAATGTATTAATGTTTTTGTTTAAATTTTTTTCGAGAGGTGTTGATTCAACTGTACAAGTGAGCAGTACAATTGCCCTAACTCAAGTAGACAAAGACTAGAAAAAAACTTGTTATATAATGCAGACCAGCAACAACACCACACACTACAGCTTTAAAACATACCATGCAACTGATTCAGCAAACAAAATGTAAACATACTGTATGTTGAGTAGTATTGATAGTTTTTATAGGTCTCTTGTATTGCTTCGCATCGCAGCCTTCACGTTTAACTTTTTTCTAGTCTCTCAGTATCAGTTCATCTGATACAGGTTTGGATACTAACCAAAAGTATGCATTAACTGCATAGTCATTTTCATGTTGAGCAATGACCGTGTGAAGATGGGCTTAGCACAGTAGTTATGACAGTAGTCTCCTCACAGCAAGTTTATATACACTGGCCAACTGGCAATCTGTGTGGGTGTAAATGTAGTAATTGTGCAGTGTGTTAACCCTGTGATATACTGGTTACCTATCCAGGGTCTACCCTCCCTCCTGTCCATGGTGAGATGGAATATGCTCCAGCCTGTATAGGATAGAAAATAAATGAATGCTTGGATGGATTGCTTTGCCTTCCCTTGAATACTGATAAAATATCTGTAAGCTTTAGTAAAAAAAAAAAAGGAAACCTCTTCAGCATTGTGTAGGCCTTCTGTAAATCAGCACCTGACAGTGAACATGTGCAATTTGAAGCTTAACTTGAAATTTTAAATGTGAATGAAATGCATGTGTGCTGTGCTTCCAAATGTGTACATTAGAAATACGCTTGATGTTTCTTGATGCCTACAAATATCACTCCTGGAAATAGCCTCCCTGGACTATTAGCAAAAGCCTCAATACGATTTAAGAGTTGAATGGAGACGTGCTGTCTTCATAATTTAATCCTAAACTATGTCATTATATTCCCTGTAGTAGGTATAACATCAGAATAACAGATTTTTATATGGTCCCAAATTGTATTGTCATGAATGTGACTACATTCTTGAGCTTTCACTATAATTATTTTCAGACTCTGTTTACAGCAGTAAAACTTATTTGGGAGTACTTCTGGTACGATGTAATCTTGTATATATTCCGGCATTCAATTGGTTAAACAGTGAAAATGTTGAGGTCTTGTCTTCCCGGCTGCTCATTGTCTTCAGTGAGAGTCTATGACACTGGCAGCATGCAGCAGCAGCAGTTGGCCGCCTGTGTGGCGCTGTCCACCTCCGTGGTCCTGAAAGCAGCTTCAGCACTCTCCCCCTCCCTCTCACACTGCCTCTCTACATCTCCCTCTGTCGCCCACCTCCATTTAGAGCAGATGACTATTGCTCTAAATGCAGATATTTGAGTTTTTTCGTAATAATTTCATGTCGATTTGCATACGTTGTAGATGATAATTTTACCATTGAACGTCATTATCATTTTATATGTCATCGTATAATTCCTGCAACCACACAGGCATGGTGGCAATGGTTTTTTGAATGATGATGAAATATAGCACGGGCTAATCTGTCGCTAAAATGTACAACTGGTCGGCGATATTTGGGTAAATAATGCTGTGCGTGTGCGTATTGGAGTGAGTGGAACCAAGAGAGAGAGAACAGCAGTAAACGCCGTCCTACATCATCTGAGCTCCCCCTTCCTTTTCATTTGCTCTACAGACCTCCATACGGGTATTTTACGTTGTCTGCTGACAGAGATATTTCTCTGAGGCTTTTTGAGAGCTGTGAAGACGTAATGACGTGTGTGCAGGCTGCACTGTCTTTCTCTGGCCACAGGAAGGCAACGAAGATCCTTGTCAGCTACAGAGGCATGTGCATGCATGCAGGTAGATAGATGCAAGAGGACAGATGGATTAAGACAAAGAATTATATGAGTAGTCACATAGTCTTTCAGTTATATGCAAGACACTGCACTTCAGTCATCTATTATCTAAAGCTCTTATATGTAATTAGTGCATTTAATAGTCATCATATTTATATTTACAGTATATTCTTAAATGCATTTAAAATCAGTAATAGGTGATGGGGAAACTGTTAAATGGGTAGGAAACTATTTAATGTTAAATGAGTGGTATTTATGATTTTATATCTATATTTATAGTCTTTAAATACACATTTTTAAAAGCGTCGCTGGTAATCCGGAGATTGTTAGGTGAGTAGTATTTAATTATATTACATTTATTGTCCTAAAATATACATTTTAAAACCGTTTTATGATGAAGGGGAGACTAATGAGTAGTAGCTAATGACAGCTCATGTAACAGAGTCAAGGAAAACGGAATATTTTTTTCTGTGGATCATACTTTTACGTCACTGCTGTGTAGATGTTCACTGATGCCATGATTGGTGGAAGTAGGAATATTTTGTCCACCAATAGCATCCAGAGCTGTACAAAGAGATCTACTCCGTCTCACCGAGTAGATTCAGCGTCGTAACCATTCAATGCTCTGCACAGGAGGGGGAGGATATGCAGACACAAAGCATGACTGTCACTGTTATGTATGTAGACGCATTTACATTGGATTATAGACCTTCTCTAATTAATCATTTAAGAAGTTGGGATTGGATTGAAAAGATATGGGATTTATGGAACGAGGAATAATGTGGAAAAAACTGCCTGCATGGCAGGTTTTTTTGTGGTGGCATCACTTCTTCCTATTGTGGACTACAATAGACGGACAGACTCGTTACAGCATCCCGGAGGAAGTGAAACAGGGCACTGTGGTAGGAAATCTAGCCAAAGATTTGGGTTTGGTTGTATCTGAACTGTATCGACGTAAATTACGGATAACCTCGGAAGCTGGTAAGCAGTATTTTAGTGTGGACTTGGGGAAGGGGGAACTGGTGGTGAGTGACAGGATAGACAGGGAGGAACTGTGCGGACAAAGACCGTCATGTTTGTTGCCTTTGGAGCTGGTTATAGATAACCCCCTACAGCTGCATAGAGTCGAAATTGAAATACGGGATACAAACGATAATTCTCCTAGTTTTCTTACTAAAGAGAAACTGTTGAAAATTGCAGAGCTGGTAAATCCAGGCGCGCGATTTCCTCTAGAAAGTGCACAGGATCCCGATGTTGGCACTAATTCTGTACGCTCATACCTCATAAGCAAAAACGACAATTTCAAGTTGACTGTTAAAAACCACAAGGACGGAAGAAAGATCCCTGAACTGGTTCTCGAAAAACCTCTTGATCGAGAAAAGCTGCCTGTACATAATCTTATCCTCACCGCTGTAGATGGCGGAGATCCGGTGCGCTCAGGGAATTCGGAAATTAAAGTTATAGTACTTGACAACAATGACAATGCGCCACAATTTGATAGACAGGTGTATGAGGCTAATATCAGCGAAAAGGCAACACCTGGAACTGAAATATTGCAAGTTAAAGCTACAGATGCAGACGAAGGACTAAATGGAGAAATTGAATATTTCTTTGCTGAGCAAACTACGGATCAAATTTTATCATTATTTGACATTGAACCTTCTACTGGAGGTATTGTTGTCAAGGATATTTTAGACCATGAAACAAATTCTTTACACAGATTTGACATAATTGCTAGAGACAAAGGCAACCCTAAAATGGATGGGCATTGTAGCGTCGAAATTAAAATTGTTGACATTAATGACAATGTTCCTGAAATAATAGTGACGTCTTTAACAACACATGTTCCAGAGGATTCTGCAATTGGAACAGTTATTGCATTAATTAGTGCAAAAGACCCAGATTCAGGTGACAATGGCAAGGTTACATTGACCGTGTCTTCCAAATACCCTTTCAAGTTAAATCCATCGGTTTCTAACCATTATTCATTAGTGACGAATGGGCCACTTGACCGTGAAAAAAATGGCCATTATAATGTCAAGATAAGTGCCACTGATTCTGGAAAACCCCCTTTATCGAGTGAAAAAATAATACTAGTTGAATTATTAGATGTAAATGACAACCCACCTGTTTTCTCTCAGTCTTCGTATGTCGTTTATGTTAAAGAGAACCATCCTCCTGGGAAGATTTTGTACTCAGTATCAGCCTCTGACCTGGATTTTGGTGAAAATGCTAAAATCTCTTACTCTATAATGGATTCTAAATTGCAGGACGTTTCTGCCTCGTCGTATGTTTACATTAACTCAGATAACGGCAGCATCTACAGCATGCAGTCGTTTGACTATGAGAAACTGAAGGTGTTTCAGATTCAGGTTCAGGCAAAGGATCAGGGCTCTCCGTCTCTCAGCAGCAACGCCACTGTCCATGTTTTTATCCTGGACCAGAACGACAACGCCCCCGCTGTTATTTACCCCTCCTCCGCTGCCCTGGGCTCCCTCTCTCATCAGAGGATGCCCCGCTCCGCTAAAGCGGGTCACCTGGTTACTAAGGTGACGGCCGTGGACGCTGACTCGGGCCATAACGCCTGGATCTCCTACAAACTGGCGGAGGCCACAGACGCCTCTCTGTTCACTGTCAATCTGTACACAGGGGAGGTGAGGACTAAACGCGCTGTGTCCGAGCAGGACGACTCCTCTCAGAGGCTGCTTATAGAGATCAGGGACGACGGGGAACCGGTCCAGTCCTCTACCGTCACGGTGTCCATCATGCTGGAGGACGGTCTCCATGAGCCCATCTTAGACCTCCGACAAAAAGCGGCCGAGCCCAGCAAGAAAACTGGGAGAATCACCCTTTATTTGATTCTGTCTCTGGCCTCGGTGTCCGTGCTGTCTCTGTTGACTTTTCTCATCTTAGCGGTTAAATGCATCAGGAGCAGCAGAAGCAACGGTAGCTGCTGCATGAGACGGACCGACTGTGATGATTACAAGAATCCCAACAGAAACCTGCAGATTCAGCTCAACACTGATGGACCTATAAAGTACGTGGAGGTCCTGGGAGGAGACATGTTGTCTCAGAGTCAGTCCTTCAGGTCCTGCATGTCTCCAATGTCAGAGTACAGTGATTTCACTCTGATTAAGCCCAGCAGCACCACTGACTTTAAGGAGGTGATCAGTGTCCTGGATGCGTCTTTACCTGACAGCACCTGGACCTTTGAGAGCCAGCAGGTGAGCAGAAAACAGCCATTTATCTTAATGAAGAAAATATAAAGATCATGGCTATTTGTTATTAAGTACAAGAAATAATTATATCATAGTCTGTTATGAAAGTCCATCCATCCATCCATCCATCCATCCATCCATCCATCCATCCATCCATCCATCCATCCATCCACCAGTCTACCATGGCTGGAAAATATTGTTTTCATCACGCGTTTTTGCAATCTCTATTATAAATTCGGATTTCCGTGTAGGAAAAACCAAGTTACGTGTATGAAATGCCTTCAGAAACAATGAAAATAACTATGTTAAAGGCATGTATCAATTTAGTGTTACATATACACATCTGAGAGCCAGCAGGTGAGCAGAAAACTGCCATTTATCTTAGTGAAGAAAATGTAAAGATCGTGGCTATTTTATAGTGCAAGAAATAATCACATCATAGTCTGATATGAAAATCAATCTATAAAATCTACGTCTACACAAATCTATGTACTTTATCTATGTATATATATCCATTCATCCTGGATGGTTTGTTGTTTTCAACACGCTTGTTCGCAATATCTACTCTAAAATTTGATTTCAACATAGGAAAAGCAAAGCAATGTGGAATAAAAAAAGAACAAAGAAACACTTAGTCGCATGTTTTTTAACATTTTGTGTTATTTGAACAATTCAGCACCATGAGAGCAGGCAGCGACTGTGGATTTGTTCACTCTTTACAATTAGAGTAATATGGTAGATAACTGTTCTATCTATCTATCTATCTATCTATCTATCTATCTATCTATCTATCTATCTACCTATCTATCTATCTATCTATCTATCTATCTATCTATGTTTGGTTAAATTCTTAAAATCATATTTGGCAAGACTGTGTTCAGAAACACTTGAAACAACTGTGTTCAAGACATCTGTTAATACAGTCTCACACATTTCCATAGCCTTTCCTGAATAGTTCAGCACCACGGCCGTGGACAGCGACTCTTAGTGGGATACAGGGATGCTTACACTATACAGGCTTGTGATTTACCTGTGTGAGCGTGTGCGCTTTGCTTCTATACTTGATTATCTTTTCAGAAAAAAAATGTCGTTCCCAAAAAATTGTTTAAAAAAAATACATTTTACTGTGGAGATTGTGATTTCTTTTTTTTTTTTTTCTTTTTTTTTACATCTGACGTAACTTTATCCGGGTCTATTTCCTATCTGTCTTTTCTTTATATTTTTTGACGTCCCTATTTCCTGGTAATAACTGCCTTTGGTTAAAGGGAATGGGCACAAGCACAATAGATGCTGCGTCTTTAAGAGTCTCGATCGGTTCCCCTCTCATTGGATGGTGGAAATAAATGCTGTGCACCAATAGGATTCAAGACTGTACAAAGCAATCTACTCCCTGCCCCCATGCAGTCTATGCGCTGTAACACTTAGACTGCAAAGAGCAAGAGGAGAGACAGCAATGAGCTCGTTTTTTACAATATGAAAATTTTATATTTCGGTTTACATCCGTGCTCAGTAATTTGTGATAAATGTTCGATGGGAATAATACCTGCAATGATGGATTTCATGATTTTTCTATACACTATGTCGATTGGAATTAATGTGTTATAGCGGACCAAGGATGACAAAGAAAATAGGATATCGAGACTGGAGATGGCAGGCGCTTTGGTGGCATCATTTCTTTCTCTTGTGGACTTCAATAGACGGACAGACTCGTTACAGCATCCCAGAGGAACTAAAACAGGGCTCTGTGGTAGGAAATCTAGCCAAAGATCTGGGTTTGGGACTATCTGAGATTTTTGACCGTAAACTGCGTGTCGCCTCTGAGGCTGGTGAGCAGTATTTCAGTGTGGATGCGGGGAAGGGCGAGCTGGTAGTGAATGACAGAATAGACAGAGAGGCTTTATGTGGACAAAGCGCCAGCTGTGTGTTGCCTCTGCAGGTTGTAATTGAAGATCCATTACAACTTTTTCGTGTTGAAGTTGAAATACAAGACATTAATGATAATTCACCCAGATTCCCATCAAATGATATCACATTGGAGATTGCAGAATCGACAGTTGTAGGTGTTCGATTCCCTTTAGAAAGCGCCATAGACCCAGATGTGGGCAGTAATTCACTGAAGTCATACACTCTCAGTAAAGACGAATGTTTTAATATTAGAGTTAAAGAAGTTGCTGGTGGAAGGAAAGTCCCTGAGTTGATTTTAGCAAAAGTTTTAGATAGAGAGAAGAAGGCTGTTCATAAGCTTTTGTTGACCGCTGTAGATGGAGGCAACCCAGTGAGATCAGGAACCTCTCAAGTATCTATCAAAGTCCTTGACATCAACGACAACGTTCCAGCTTTTGAGAAAAACTTGTATAAAGTATCAATTAATGAAAATACTGAAGAAGGTGCGATGATTGTACAAACAAAAGCAACAGATATGGACGATGGTCAAAACGGAGAAATAGAGTACTCATTTGGAGCGCACACATCAGATGCTGTTCTCTCTGTTTTTAATATTGATCAGTTATCGGGAACTATATTTCTTAAAGGAAAACTAGATTTTGAATCAACTTCAAATTATGAAATAGACATAAGTGCGAAAGACAAAGGCATTCCGAGAATGGAGGGGCACTGTACTGTGCATGTTGACGTTTTAGATGTTAACGATAATGCCCCAGAAATAATACTCACGTCTCATCCAAAGCCAGTGCGCGAAGACTCCCCTAATGGCACCGTGGTAGCTTTACTCAGTGCCCGAGACCTAGACTCCGGTGATAACGGTAAAGTTATATTACAGCTCCCTAAGAAATCACAATTTGCCCTGAAACCATCGTTCTCACAAAATTACGCGCTGGTTACCAGAGGCATTTTAGATAGAGAAAATGTTTCCGAATATTATATTGAAATAACAGCCACTGATTCAGGCTCTCCTCCTCTTTCCAGTAAGAAAACTATACCAGTCAGCATCACTGATGTGAATGACAACCCTCCTGTATTCACTCAGCCCTCCTATAATGTATATTTAAAAGAGAATGGGGTACCAGGATCTATACTGTATTCAGTATCAGCCTCTGACCTGGATTTTGGTGAAAATGCTAAAATCTCTTACTCTATACTGGACTCTAAAGTGCAGGACGTTTCTGCCTCGTCGTATGTTTACATTAACTCAGATAACGGCAGCATCTACAGCATGCAGTCGTTTGACTATGAGAAACTGAAGGTGTTTCAGATTCAGGTTCAGGCAAAGGATCAGGGCTCTCCGTCTCTCAGCAGCAACGCCACTGTCCATGTTTTTATCCTGGACCAGAACGACAACGCCCCCGCTGTTATTTACCCCTCCTCCGCTGCCCTGGGCTCCCTCTCTCATCAGAGGATGCCCCGCTCCGCTAAAGCGGGTCACCTGGTTACTAAGGTGACGGCCGTGGACGCTGACTCGGGCCATAACGCCTGGATCTCCTACAAACTGGCGGAGGCCACAGACGCCTCTCTGTTCACTGTCAATCTGTACACAGGGGAGGTGAGGACTAAACGCGCTGTGTCCGAGCAGGACGACTCCTCTCAGAGGCTGCTTATAGAGATCAGGGACGACGGGGAACCGGTCCAGTCCTCCACTGTCACGGTGTCCATCATGCTGGAGGATGGTCTCCATGAGCCCATCTTAGACCTCCGACAGAAAGTGGCCGAGCCCAACAAGAAAACTGGGAGAATCACCCTTTATTTGATTCTGTCTCTGGCCTCGGTGTCCGTGCTGTCTCTGTTGACTTTTCTCATCTTAGCGGTTAAATGCATCAGGAGCAGCAGAAGCAACGGTAGCTGCTGCATGAGACGGACCGACTGTGATGATTACAAGAACCCCAATAGAAACCTGCAGATTCAGCTCAACACTGATGGACCTATAAAGTACGTGGAGGTCCTGGGAGGAGACATGTTGTCTCAGAGTCAGTCCTTCAGGTCCTGCATGTCTCCAATGTCAGAGTACAGTGATTTCACTCTGATTAAGCCCAGCAGCACCACTGACTTTAAGGAGGTGATCAGTGTCCTGGATGCGTCTTTACCCGACAGCACCTGGACCTTTGAGAGCCAGCAGGTGAGCAGAAAACAGCCATTTATCTTATCGAAGAAAATATAAAGATCATGGCTATTTGTTATTAAGTACAAGAAGTACTCATATCATAGTCTGTTATGAAAGTCCATCCATCTATCCATCCATCCATCCATCTATCCATCCATCCTTCAATCCACCAATCTACCATGGCTGGTAAATATTGTTTTCATCACACGTTTTTGCAATCTCTATTATAAATTCGGATTTCCGTGTAGGAAAAACCAAGTTACGTGTATGAAATGCCTTCAGAAACAATGAAAATAACTATGTTAAAGGCATGTATCAATTTAGTGTTACATGTACACATCTGAACAATTCAGCACCAGGACAGCGACTGTGAAATGCGCCCACTATCTTGTAGCATTACAACATTGTTGATGTATTTAGGCTACTCTTTACAATTATATACAGTATATAACTGTTCAATATTTCTCATGCTTTCACATTTTTCTGGGATACGAAATTTAATTGTATCTCTTGATTGTTTTGGGTGCTGACTGACAGGCGTTTTTCCATTTTTTTTATTTGTGTCAATGACAAGGTTCCCCATATTATTTGACTGTGATAGATACTTGATCAGTCAGATGAAAGCACAGAACGAGAACAAATGCTGCCACTTTAAAAATCTCGATCGGTTCCACTCTCATTGGATGGTGGGAATGGATGCTGTGCACCAATAGGATTCAGAACTGTACAAAGCAATCTACTCCCTGCCCCCATGCAGCCTCAGTGCTGCAACACTTAGAATACAATGAGCTCGGGGAGAGACGGCAATGGGCTCGCGTTTTCTAAAATTTAGCGATATACATTTTAGCTTACAACCATGTTCAGACACTGTGATACTTTTTCTTTTGGGGTTTTTCCTACTATCATGGATTTCATTATTGCTATAAAAGAGATTTCGTTTGGAATTAATGTGCTATAACGGACCAAGGATGACAAAGAAAATAGGATACCGAGACTGGAGATGGCAGGCTCTTTGGTGGCATCATTTCTTTCTCTTGTGGACTACAATAGACGGACAGATTCGTTACAGCATCCCGGAGGAACTAAAACAGGGCTCTGTGGTAGGAAATCTAGCCAAAGATCTGGGTTTAGGATTATCTGACATTTTTGATCGTAAACTGCGAGTCGCCTCTGAGGCTGGTGAGCAGTATTTCAGTGTGGATGCGGGGAAGGGCGAGCTGGTGGTGAATGACAGAATAGACAGAGAGGCTTTATGTGGACAAAGCGCCAGCTGTGTTCTACCTCTCCAAGTAGTTGCTGAAAATCCTTTGCAGTCTCATCGAATTGAAATAGAAATAAGAGACATAAATGACAATTCACCACATTTTCTTACACAGGAGATAAACCTTAAAATACCAGAATCAGTTGCGCTTGGCAAACGCTTTCCTTTGGAGAGCGCAGAGGACCCAGATGTTGGAAGCAATTCTTTGAAAACCTACTCTCTAAGCAAAAACGATTATTTTTCTCTCAAATTTAAAGACACAAAAAACGGAAAAGCCGTCCCAGAATTAGTGTTAGAAAAGCCATTAGACCGAGAAAAGAATGCTCTTCATCAGCTGCTGTTAACAGCATTAGATGGAGGAAACCCAGTCACCTCGGGAACGTGTAAGATCACTATCACTGTACTTGATATAAACGACAATTTTCCAGTGTTCGATGAAAATGAATACAAAGTCTCTTTAAAGGAGAACAGCACCAAAGGAACATTTGTTATTAAACTTACAGCTGCAGATGCTGACGATGGTCTTAATGGTGAAGTTAAATATGCTTTTGGGTCCCGCACTCCAGACTTTGTGTTATCAACATTTGAAATCAACGACATGACAGGTGAAATTGTATTAAAAGGAATATTAGATTATGAAAGCTATAGATCATATCTTATCGATATAACTGCTAAAGATAAAGGCGTCCCCGAAATGGAGGGTCACTGTCGTGTACAGCTGGACGTAGAGGACATAAACGATAACGCTCCAGAAATTGTGCTCACTTCAAAACCCAGTCCAGTACGCGAGGACGCGCCAAGTGACACAGTTGTGGCTTTAATCAGTGCACGAGACCTCGATTCCGCTAATAACGGTAAAGTGAAACTACAGCTGCCCAAACATTCTCCTTTCACTCTTAAACCATCATTTTCTAATAATTATGAACTGGTTACCAGTGGTCCTTTAGACAGAGAGAGTTTCGCAGAGTATAATGTCGAGATAACTGCCACTGATTCAGGCTCTCCTCCTCTGTCCAGTAAAAAAACTATACCAGTCAGCATCACTGATGTGAATGACAACCCTCCTGTATTCACTCAGCCCTCCTACAATGTATATTTAAAAGAGAATGGGGTACCAGGATCTATACTGTGCTCAGTATCAGCCTCTGACCTGGATTTTGGTGAAAATGCTAAAATCTCTTACTCTATACTGGACTCTAAAGTGCAGGACGTTTCTGCCTCGTCGTATGTTTACATTAACTCAGATAACGGCAGCATCTACAGCATGCACTCGTTTGACTATGAGAAACTGAAGGTGTTTCAGATTCAGGTTCAGGCAAAGGATCAGGGCTCTCCGTCTCTCAGCAGCAACGCCACTGTCCATGTTTTTATCCTGGACCAGAACGACAACGCCCCCGTTGTTATTTACCCCTCCTCCGCTGCCCTGGGCTCCCTCTCTCATCAGAGGATGCCCCGCTCCGCTAAAGCGGGTCACCTGGTTACTAAGGTGACGGCCGTGGACGCTGACTCGGGCCATAACGCCTGGATCTCCTACAAACTGGCGGAGGCCACAGACGCCTCTCTGTTCACTGTCAATCTGTACACAGGGGAGGTGAGGACTAAACGCGCTGTGTCCGAGCAGGACGACACCTCTCAGAGGCTGCTTATAGAGATCAGGGACGACGGGGAACCGGTCCAGTCCTCCACTGCCACGGTGTCCATCATGCTGGAGGACGGTCTCCATGAGCCCATCTTAGACCTCCGACAGAAAGCGGCCGAGCCCAGCAAGAAAACTGGGAGAATCACCCTTTATTTGATTCTGTCTCTGGCCTCGGTGTCCGTGCTGTCTCTGTTGACTTTTCTCATCTTAGCGGTTAAATGCGTCAGGAGCAGCAGAAGCAGCGGTAGCTGCTGCATGAGACGGACCGACTGTGATGATTACAAGAACCCCAATAGAAACCTGCAGATTCAGCTCAACACTGATGGACCTATAAAGTACGTGGAGGTCCTGGGAGGAGACATGTTGTCTCAGAGTCAGTCCTTCAGGTCCTGCATGTCTCCAATGTCAGAGTACAGTGATTTCACTCTGATTAAGCCCAGCAGCACCACTGACTTTAAGGAGGTGATCAGTGTCCTGGATGCGTCTTTACCTGACAGCACCTGGACCTTTGAGAGCCAGCAGGTGAGCAGACAGTAAAATCTTTTATCTGTAAATTCTCACTGAAGATTAATTTTAATTTCTCATGTATTATTACTGGGCTTTCTTCGATGTACTTGATTTGATATGATGCATGCAAAGTTTTTAAAGCATCACCTACTCAAATTCATGTCACCAGAATCATTTTTAAGTGACACATAACGGAGCATTGTGGTTTTTGCTGACATATTTTGTGTCATGTGTTTTTCTACACACATGCCTCTGAACATGGTCAATTAAAGGCTGAAATACCTGCGTATTCTTCACAAACTTCCTGAATGTGAAAAATAAAAATGAAAGTACGTTGAGGTAACTTGTTGTAGATGAATGTTAGCCCATATGTATCATTTTGACATAGGCCTGCTTAAGCATTACAACTATATTCTGCTAAAGCTTATAAAGACTTAGACTGCCTTTAGTTGCTATAAGGCTTTATGACAGCACCTGTTATGTGACTGGTTGCAAACAGTCACGCAATATAAGCAAGTACATTTCTTTTGAGGATGTGTTAGTGATCATTGTAACTACCTAATTCAAATCTCAGCATGTACTGTAAGGGTCATTTCGTTTTTTATATAGGTGTGGATTTCATATTGACACATCTTGCAAAATCGGCATGAATGTAATCATACAAATCGCACAATGAATGACTTTCCAATAACTGTTAGAATACTAAAAAGCAGGAATAGAGAGGGAAAAAGCATCGCATGTTTAATCAGCGCCTTCGATTTCATTTAATTACTATTATAAGAAGCGCCTCATTGTGCCATTTCACACATTCTTGACTTGCACTACTGAGTCTGTAACACATTTCTGTATCGAGCTTATTGGATGTAGGTTAGATGCTGTGCACCAATAGCATTAGGAGTTGTACAAAGAGATCTACTCCCTCCCCCATCCATCCTCTCCATTGTAGCCAGTGTAATGCTCCAACCCGAGATGAGAGGAGGACGCGCTTAAATACTCAGATTAAAAAATATGTCTTTAATTTACAGCTCAGGATGCATAAGTATTGGTATCTTTGGAGTACAACAAGATTATCGTTGATGGATTTTCATAATCACCTCTTTGTTCTAAACGATATGTCGATGGGAAATAATGTCCTATTGTAACGGACCGGGGATGACAAAGAGAATGGGATACCGAGACTGGAGATGGCAGGCGCTTTGGTGGCATCATTTCTTTCTCTTGTGGACTTCAATAGACGGACAGACTCGTTACAGCATCCCAGAGGAGCTGGAGCGGGGCTCTGTGGTAGGAAACATAGCCAAAGATCTGGGTTTGGGACTTTCAGATATTTTTGACCGTAAACTGCGAGTCGCCTCTGAGGCTGGTAAGCAGTATTTCAGTGTGGATGCGGGGAAGGGCGAGCTGGTGGTGAATGACAGAATAGACAGAGAGGCTTTATGTGGACAAAGCGCCAGCTGTATTCTACCTCTGCAGGTTGTAATAGAAAATCCATTACAATTGCACCGGATAGAAGTGGAAATAAGAGACGTAAATGACAACGCTCCTAGTTTTCTCAAAAGCGATCATGTAATAGAAATTGCTGAATCCACCGTTGTAGGCGTGCGTTTTCCCTTAGAGAGTGCAGAGGATCCAGATGTTGGGAGTAACGGATTAAAGTCTTACACTCTAAGCAAAGACGATTGCTTTATTTTAAAAGTAAAAGAAATTGAAAATGGTAGAAAAATACCCGAATTAGTGTTAAATAAATCATTAGACCGGGAGAAAAAAGCGATTCATAATTTATTTCTTATTGCTATGGACGGAGGAAACCCGGTCAAGTCAGGAACTTCAAAAATAACTATAACTGTACTTGATATTAATGATAATGTGCCATTATTCGAAAATGCTTTTTATAAAATTGCTGTTCAAGAAAACACTGCAAACGGTTCATTTTTAATTTCAACAAAAGCAACAGACATAGATGAGGGTCCAAATGGAGAAATTGAGTACTCGCTTGGCATACACACACCACCATCGGTGCTGTCATTGTTTCATATTGATGCTGTAACTGGAGATATATATTTGAAGCAACAGTTAGACCACGAAGATCAAACTTCATATCGAATAGACGTCAGTGCTAAAGACAAAGGCTTCCCTAAAATGGAGGGTCACTGCAGTGTGCAGGTGGATGTCTTAGACGTTAATGATAATGCTCCAGAAATTGTGCTGACTTCAAAACCCACTTCTGTGCCCGAAGACTCTCGAGGTGGGACAGTAGTAGCTTTGCTCAGTGTCCGTGACCTTGATTCAGGTGATAACGGTAAAGTGATGTTAAAGCTTCCGATAGGGTCTCCCTTTACTCTTAAACCATCATTTTCTAATAATTACGCACTAGTTACCAGTGGTCCTTTAGACAGAGAGAGCTCCTCACACTATGATATTGAAATAACTGCCACTGATTCAGGCTCTCCTCCTCTGTCCAGTAAGAAAACTATACCAGTCAGCATCACTGATGTGAATGACAACCCTCCTGTATTCACTCAGCCCTCCTATAATGTATATTTAAAAGAGAATGGGGTACCAGGATCTATACTGTACTCAGTATCAGCCTCTGACCTGGATTTTGGTGAAAATGCTAAAATCTCTTACTCTATACTGGACTCTAAAGTGCAGGACGTTTCTGCCTCGTCGTATGTTTACATTAACTCAGACAACGGCAGCATCTACAGCATGCACTCGTTTGACTATGAGAAACTGAAGGTGTTTCAGATTCAGGTTCAGGCAAAGGATCAGGGCTCTCCGTCTCTCAGCAGCAACGCCACTGTCCATGTTTTTATCCTGGACCAGAACGACAACGCCCCCGCTGTTATTTACCCCTCCTCCGCTGCCCTGGGCTCCCTCTCTCATCAGAGGATGCCCCGCTCCGCTAAAGCGGGTCACCTGGTTACTAAGGTGACGGCCGTGGACGCTGACTCGGGCCATAACGCCTGGATCTCCTACAAACTGGTGGAGGCCACAGACGCCTCTCTGTTCACTGTCAATCTGTACACAGGGGAGGTGAGGACTAAACGCGCTGTGTCCGAGCAGGACGACTCCTCTCAGAGGCTGCTTATAGAGATCAGGGACGACGGGGAACCGGTCCAGTCCTCCACTGCCACGGTGTCCATCATGCTGGAGGACGGTCTCCATGAGCCCATCTTAGACCTCCGACAGAAAGTGGCCGAGCCCAGCAAGAAAACTGGGAGAATCACCCTTTATTTGATTCTGTCTCTGGCCTCGGTGTCCGTGCTGTCTCTGTTGACTTTTCTCATCTTAGCGGTTAAATGCATCAGGAGCAGCAGAAGCAACGGTAGCTGCTGCATGAGACGGACCGACTGTGATGATTACAAGAACCCCAACAGAAACCTGCAGATTCAGCTCAACACTGATGGACCTATAAAGTACGTGGAGGTCCTGGGAGGAGACCTGTTGTCTCAGAGTCAGTCCTTCAGGTCCTGCATGTCACCAATGTCAGAGTACAGTGATTTCACTCTGATTAAGCCCAGCAGCACCACTGACTTTAAGGAGGTGATCAGTGTCCTGGATGCGTCTTTACCCGACAGCACCTGGACCTTTGAGAGCCAGCAGGTGAGCAGATGAAAGGTCATTTTGATGTTCCCAGCATATGTTTGTTAATTTTCTATATTTAAAAAAACGTATCAAGATATTTAATTGTCATCTGATGATCCCTTTCCCATGGTAAAATATGAAAGCCTACCTTCTCAACTCTATTTTTATCAGCTTCATATGTATGAAATCAAACAGTGAGCACTCTGGTATCGTTTTTTTTGGAAGATTTGGCTAAATAAATGAAAAAGGGGCCGTGTGCTTTGGTATTATGATAGTGGCAAAATTTTATACATTTTCATTTTAAATATTAGCAAAATTAGTAATTTCTTGCTTCAAGAACGACTTTAACCTTTCATACATGCCTTGTTAGAGAGGACCCAGGTTCTGATTAGCTCTCTTATTGTGGTGCATATTCTTTTCTGTGAATGGACATTTTGTTTGATTGTATGAAAGTCATAATGTTTCAGCAATACACATTAAAACCAGAGATATGAGATAGCTCTTACACATATCACACACAGCAGTGCATCTATGTTGACTCTCATGAGCGCAGCTGTGTCTTTAAATGCACTGCTCAGTCCTTTTACTATTGGATGCCAGTGATGGGAGCTGTGCTCCAATCACATACAGAACTGTACAAAGAGATCTACCCCCTCCCCCTCGCAGCTTCAGCACCGTAAACGTTAACAATGCAAAGAGCTAGAGGACGGTGGATGCTGCGTTTATATCTTGGAGATGAAAACGATACCGTTCATTTAAGTTTCAGACATGAACAAAAATGCTTTATTTGTGTGTATGGGAGTAGTTAATGCTCTCTTGGAACTGGATTTTATCTTCGATTTTCTCGATGGGAAATAACATATTCTAACGGACCTGAGATGACAAAGAGAATGGGATACCGAGACTTGAGATGGCAGGCGCTTTGGTGGCATCATTTCTTTCTCTTGTGGACTTCAATAGACGGACAGACTCGTTACAGCATCCCGGAGGAACTAAAACAGGGCTCTGTGGTAGGAAATCTAGCCAAAGATCTGGGTTTGGGACTTTCAGATATGTTTGATCGTAAACTGCGAGTCGCCTCTGAGGCTGGTGAGCAGTATTTCAGTGTGGATGCGGGGAAGGGCGAGCTGGTGGTGAATGACAGAATAGACAGAGAGGCGTTATGTGGACAAAGTGCCAGCTGTGTGTTGCCTTTGCAGATCGTTCTTGAAAACCCGCTAAATTTGCATCGTATTGAGGTAGAAATAAAAGATATAAATGATAATTCACCCAGATTTCACACAAAAGAAATGTCTTTGAAAATTGCCGAATCGGCAGCAGTGGGGGCTCGTTTTCTTTTGGAGAGTGCAGAGGATCCAGATGTTGGAAGTAATTCGTTGAAATCATACACCTTGAATAAAAACGACTGTTTTACGTTGAAAATGAAGGAGGTTGAGGATGGCAAAACAGTCCCCGAGTTAGTGTTAGAGAAGCCTCTTGATAGAGAGAAGAAAGCAGTTCATCAGCTGCTACTGACCGCATTAGACGGGGGGAACCCAGTCATGTCTGGTACCTCACAGATCACAATCACAGTGCTTGATAACAACGACAATTTCCCAGTATTTGATAAAAATATATATAAAGTGTCCTTACAAGAGAATACTGCAAAGGATACTTTTGTTGTCAAAATGACAGCAACTGATGCTGACGAGGGACCAAACGGAGAAGTTGAATTTTCTTTTGGCTTGCGGACACCGGATTCCGTCTCATCGGTGTTTGAGGTAAATTCTGTAACAGGCGAAATATATTTGACAGGAGACTTAGATTATGAAAGAGCCACATCTTACAAAATTGAAATAACTGCGAAAGACAAGGGGGTTCCTGAAATGGAGAGTCACTGTCGTCTACAGATTGATGTTGTAGATGTTAATGATAACACTCCAGATATTGTTCTCACTTCTGAACCGCAGCCAGTGCGCGAGGATGCACCAAGTGGCACAGTGGTGGCTCTGCTCAACGCACGTGACGCTGACTCCGGTAATAATAGCAAAGTGACATTGCAACTACCCAAAGGGTCTCCCTTTACTCTAAAGCCATCTTTTTCGAATAATTACGCACTAATTACAAATGGTCCTTTAGACAGAGAGAGTTTCTCAGAGTATAACATTGAGATAACTGCCACTGATTCAGGCTCTCCTCCTCTGTCCAGTAAGAAAACTATACCAGTCAGCATCACTGATGTGAATGACAACCCTCCTGTATTCACTCAGCCCTCCTATAATGTATATTTAAAAGAGAATGGGGTACCAGGATCTATACTGTACTCAGTATCAGCCTCTGACCTGGATTTTGGTGAAAATGCTAAAATCTCTTACTCTATACTGGACTCTAAAGTGCAGGACGTTTCTGCCTCGTCGTATGTTTACATTAACTCAGATAACGGCAGCATCTACAGCATGCACTCGTTTGACTATGAGAAACTGAAGGTGTTTCAGATTCAGGTTCAGGCAAAGGATCAGGGCTCTCCGTCTCTCAGCAGTAACGCCACTGTCCATGTTTTTATCCTGGACCAGAACGACAACGCCCCCGCTGTTATTTACCCCTCCTCCGCTGCCCTGGGCTCCCTCTCTCATCAGAGGATGCCCCGCTCCGCTAAAGCGGGTCACCTGGTTACTAAGGTGACGGCCGTGGACGCTGACTCGGGCCATAACGCCTGGATCTCCTACAAACTGGCGGAGGCCACAGACGCCTCTCTGTTCACTGTCAATCTGTACACAGGGGAGGTGAGGACTAAACGCGCTGTGTCCGAGCAGGACGACTCCTCTCAGAGGCTGCTTATAGAGATCAGGGACGACGGGGAACCGGTCCAGTCCTCCACCGTCACGGTGTCCATCCTGCTGGAGGACGGTCTCCATGAGCCCATCTTAGACCTCCGACAGAAAGCGGCCGAGCCCAGCAAGAAAACTGGGAGAATCACCCTTTATTTGATTCTGTCTCTGGCCTCGGTGTCCGTGCTGTCTCTGTTGACTTTTCTCATCTTAGCGGTTAAATGCATCAGGAGCAGCAGAAGCAGCGGTAGCTGCTGCATGAGACGGTCCGACTGTGATGATTACAAGAACCCCAACAGAAACCTGCAGATTCAGCTCAACACTGATGGACCTATAAAGTACGTGGAGGTCCTGGGAGGAGACATGTTGTCTCAGAGTCAGTCCTTCAGGTCCTGCATGTCTCCAATGTCAGAGTACAGTGATTTCACTCTGATTAAGCCCAGCAGCACCACTGACTTTAAGGAGGTGATCAGTGTCCTGGATGCGTCTTTACCCGACAGCACCTGGACCTTTGAGAGCCAGCAGGTGAGCAGAAAACAATAGTAGAGCTACTGTGTAATTTCATATCGTTGCATAGACCTACCTTTTTTTCTAACTATATAATATTTAACTGCCCCCTGACGGCATGGTGTTTTCGTTGTCCTAGAGGTAAGCTACGAGTCATCAGTCACAAACATTTGTTCTCATCTTTATTTATTTATTCATTTATTTATTTAACCTACGTTCGCCCATAGTGTTTGGCGTTCTGATGATCGTTGCTCTTAGCTATCCTACATGTGCTTTAAACTCATGACATTACTCTGTCATGTTAAATCGACATTTCTTTCAATCATCATTGACGGTTTATAATGCAGACAAGATACTGAGATGGGCATCATGTCTTCATTTTAACCCAGTCATCTTCATCATCACATCCTGACCACTATGGTGGGCTTTCGTTGCTCAGGTATTTTCTGTTCGCAAAGATGATTCCTTCCTTTCAACCCGCCTGATATTTGTTTCTGATGCAAATTTCTACATCATGTCTAAATTCAGATTTTGTTTTCAGTTCTGTTTGCGTGATGCTATATTTTAGGTGTTTGGGATGCCACTTTTATAATTGTATGAATGATACTTTGTTTCAGCACCACACAGCTGGACAGTGACACCTTGAATAGGCTAATCTGCTTTCAGTAACTGCGCGTCACTTTCACCTTTTTTAGTAATTCAAACCACAACAAATAGTTTATTTAATGAAAACATTGAATAGCAAGAACACAAACAGTATTTATAGTGCTTATACTTTTCTAATCCCATTTCAGTTTGTGTGCAGTACCATTAATGGCGACGTATAACAGCTGGCGTCCTATCATTTCTCTACACACTGTCAATGCATTGAGGCAGATTCTTTGAAGGGCGGCTGTGTCTTTAAAAGCACTGCTCACCTCCGTTCTTATTGGATGGTAGAGATGGATATTGTGCACCAGTCAAACGTAGAGCTATACAAAGAGATCTACTCCCTCCCCCATGCAGCCTCAGCACAGTAAACACTTACATTACAACGAGCTGCATGAGACGGAGTGATGCTCTTTTCGGAATTAAAGAGAAAAATATTTATTCACTTTTTGGTATGAAACGATTTTGGATCTTTGTTTTGGATTAGTGCTTTGTGGCAATGGATGGTAACTATCTTATTTTCGATTACCTCACTGGGAAATAATACTAACGGACCGGGGATGACAAAGAGAATAGGATACCGAGACTGGAGATGGCAGGCGCTTTGGTGGCATCATTTCTTTCTCTTGTGGACTACAATACACGGACAGACTCGTTACAGCATCCCGGAGGAACTAAAACAGGGCTCTGTGGTAGGAAATCTAGCCAAAGATCTGGGTTTGGGACTATCTGAGATTTTTGACCGTAAACTGCGAGTCGCCTCTGAGGCTGGTGAGCAGTATTTCAGTGTGGATGCAGGGAAGGGCGAGCTGGTGGTGAATGACAGAATAGACAGAGAGGCTTTATGTGGACAAAGCGCCAGCTGTGTGTTGCCTCTGCAAGTGGTCATTGATAAACCGTTACAATTGTACCGAGTCGAGGTGGAAATACAGGATATTAACGATAATTCGCCATTATTCCCTTCGCAAGAAATAATATTACAAATAGCAGAGTCAACAGCGGCAGGGGCACGTTTTCCAGTAGAGACTGCACAGGATCTTGATGTTGGAGTGAATTCAGTGAGGTCGTATACTTTGAGTAAAGACGACTTTTTTAGTTTAAAGATAAAAGACGTATCTGGTGGGAGGAAAGTCCCAGAGCTAGTTTTGTCTAAATCTCTTGACAGAGAAAAAAAGCCTATACATCAGCTGCAATTAACAGCTATAGACGGAGGAAACCCAGTAAAATCTGGGACCTCTCTAATAACCATAAATGTACTTGATATTAATGATCATTTTCCTGTATTTGAGAAAAATGTTTACAAAGTCTCCATAAGCGAAAACAGTGTACAAGGTGCATCTATCATAAAACTTGAAGCAAAAGATATTGATGAAGGTGCTAATGGAGAAGTAGAGTATTCATTTGGAACCCACACACCAGATATTGTCCTGTCTGTGTTTGATATTGACTCAGTAACCGGAGAAATACGTCTTACAGGGAAACTAGATTTTGAAACAAATGCAAATTATGAAATTGACGTTTGCGCAAGAGACAAAGGAACTCCGAGAATGGAGGGGCATTGTACTGTCCATATAGAAGTGATAGATGTTAACGATAACGCTCCAAATATATTTCTGACCTCGCAACCAAACTCTGTGCCTGAAGACGCACCAAGTGGTACTGTTGTAGCTTTAATCAGTGCCCGAGACCTTGACTCTGGTTACAACGGTAAGGTATCATTACAACTCCCCAAGGGGTCTCCTTTTAACCTGAAACCCTCTTTTTCTGATAATTACGCACTGGTTACTAGTGGTGCTTTAGACAGAGAGAGCTCCTCACACTTTGATATTGAAGTAACTGCCACTGATTCAGGCTCTCCTCCTCTTTCCAGTAAGAAAACTATTAATGTCATTA